CTCATTTTACGTTGATCAATTTCAGCCATTTTTTTTCTCAATTTCTTTTTTATAGGATATGATAGATAAATAATCATTATGCAATATTACATAGCAAACTTCACAATTAATATCAATATGAATCCATTTCAAACTACCTTGCATTAATTCTAAAATCGAGTCATAATATAAAAGCGCCTACACTTGACACGCCCGGCAGTTGAATACGTACAGTCGTTCTGATAAGGTTGTAATACTTAAGTCTGTTGTGAAATTAGTGATTCGAAAGATTGTGAGCAAAGTGAAATTAAAATATAGTCTTCTTTGTAAAAGTTAAGTATAGTGTGTTAAAAACTCTCATATACAGCTTGATAGTGTAATTAAGCAACAAATATAGTGATTAAACAGTTAAATAAGTAAGGCGTCGTAGTTTCATTGGAGGAAAGCTGACAGATAAGGGTGACAAACGAGCACACAGTCCACCTGACGGTAAGTGGTTGCTGTGGCCCATAGACATCTACATCTATCCTCGTTTGCGAATCAAAATGTAGATGCGTTGTCGCCCATGAGGACTAAGATGGAATGCCTCTTTTCCAGTAAAAAGGGTCTCCGGTTCTCTACACTCAACATACGAAACACAGCAGTGTTAAGCTGCTATTTTACGCTGGTATTCTGTGAGAGCGTGGTCCCTCCCCGGTCGAGTCGACTCATTCGTGCTACAACTATACTACTAATTAGTGTTGCCCAAATGCAAGAACAAGACGAGACTCAAGTCTTGGTCTTGGTCTTGGTCTTGCGCCAATACACCTAGTCTTGGTCTTGGTCTTGGTCTTGCAGCAAGAGTCTCGCAAGTCTCGCAATGACCTATTAGCCTATTACTATTTATTAAACTACTTTAGATCTTAGAACAACTTAACAGAGTAGGTACATATTGAGCTTGAATTAACATAGCCATAGTAAAGACCAACCATATTAATAAATGTCTAAACATTTAATGAAAAATTCGAAAAATCAACTGACACCGGGTGGGGTTTGAACCCACGACCTAAGCGGTCCGTGCCGATGCTCTAACTGAGCTATCTACCGTGTCCCACGGCCATGGGTGTCAGTTTCTTAATAAACGTTTACATTTAATAAGCTTACATGTGCTAAAACATGGTTAAACATACATATAAAAACAAATTAATGGCAATAACTATACACTGTATTTTAAATAACATTATCTCTCTAGAAAGAGATTGATGGACCCTCACCATATATGAAATGGAATAAAAGAGTTATACAATATACAATTTATTTAAATAAAAAATAAAATACGATGCAAATTAATTTACTTCACAGTATGTACACAACAGCTTTGACATTACTGTTAGGTACTTTATATTTATTCTTTTGACAAAGCATTAATACAAAGTAACCATCTGGCTGACTCATCACTTAACCTATTTCTATGTTTTCTAATTACTAATGATGCTTTAGAAAATAATCTCTCAGCAGGTACTGAAGTTGCAGGTATTAAAAGAAAATCATGGGCCATCTTCGATAAAATGGGATATTTTGTCTCATGCGTCCTCCAACAGTCTAAAATGTCTTCCGAGATGACGGCTCTGGGTTTACCTAGGTACCCCTCCAACTCCTTAATAACTAAGCCTTGAAGATAAGATCCAGATCCATTTTTACACATTTCAAGTGTTTTAAAAGTGCTATGGTGTCAACCATATTTATGAAATGTGTGACGACATATTCGAGCACTTTGTGTTTTAAAAACACACACTTGCAAAAGTCGAGATTTGCAGTGAACTTACTGAACATGTTTATCTTTTAGGTAATAATAATAACAATAATAGTAAGTAATTATTATAAATACATATAGTTAATTTTATAATAGTTACTTACTAGAATAAATTATTATGATACCTACCTATTATCTAATTACAATATTTCTTGCGAGATCAGGATAATGTATTCGTGTCCATTCTGAGCACCCGGAAAATTATTTTATTCTTTGAAACATGTACTCTGTGGCGGCAATCAAACAGTGTCAAATTTAGTGCGTGTGGCGCGGCGGCGACGATTGTATGCGATATCAATAGTAGCCGCCGGCACGTGTATCTTGACCTTGTACTTTCGAATAGCTGCACAATTTCTGTGACAGGTCAGTATCCGACCTTTGATGACGCCGACAACAAGACGCCGCGCACTATCAAAGTGCCGATGGTCAAAACTAGGGATACACTCTTTTTTCTTTTAATGGATATTTTCATTCGCTATGTATATTTATGGTATTGTTCGTAATGCGCATAAGTCCAATTTTCCAATTTTTTTTTCATTATATTTTTTGCATCTCATAGAGTCCCTAAGCGTATACCCGAACTCCTATACTCCCTGAAACGACACTTAGTCCTAACTGCAAGACGCAAGAGTCTCGCAAGCTAAGTCTTGTTCTTGCGCAAATCTTGCACGGTCAGTCTTGGTCTTGGTCTTGCTAAAAAGAGGCTGTCTTGTTCTTGGTCTTGGTCTTGCAAAAATGCAAGAACAAGACCAAGACTGCAAGACCAAGACCGATTTTGGGCAACACTACTACTAATGTAGCTGCAGCATGGCTCTACCACGTGGTTTAGCCTCATTAGTTGTTGAGAGTAGAGATCCGAATTGATGATTTTGCCCGGCGGTAAAAACTCATACTAAACGATGCCCTTCCAATCCCATCATACACGGCAGCATCACATTATTGCGTGTTAATCCGGGTTTTGCTACAGTCTGTAGAGCTTGACTACCTTTTGACCATTATCTTTTTCGCACGTTATTGTCGTAGGAGATACACTTTACATCACCAGTGATCAATACTTTCTATAATAGTTCGGTTTCATTATGTGTCAATACACTTATACGAGTACTATATGTACACGATTCATTAGGTTTCTTTCAGCTGAGCAGAGCTCTTGTGGTACCCAAATATCGATCGAATATCGATATATACAAAAAATGTATAGCCAGACTTTTTCAAATGGGTCAAAACTGTTTTGTGGTCAATCCCCAATTCCTCGGCTATGTCGTAAATACTAATACGCCGATCTTGCTCCACTTTTTAAAAAATGGAATCGACTTTATCCGTATGAGAGTGAGCAGAGTGAGCTTCATTTTTACACATCAAAATTCCCGGACTGAAAACTATTGTATAAATTATATATATTAATAACTATTACAACTTTGTGCTACTCTCACTGACACTGTGTTCGGTCCATAAACTTCATAAATTTTTTTTGCAGCGTGATTCGTATTTTTCCCTTTTTTGTAATAAAACTTCAGAATTTATCGAATTTCTTCATTAGATTCACTCATTTGGGCGGTCAGAAAAACAATTAAAAAATAGCGGGAAAGTGTTTTTTACTTTTATTTTTATTTTTCTTAATGTCCTATATTATGTATTGATATTAAAACCAGCCAGATACAAACCGTACAATCAAAGAGATTTTTCTTCAATTTTATACAAACAAAATACGAAGAAACTTTTTGCCCAACCTATTATATAAAAGACTAACATAACAGTAACTTTACCATGAAACAAACGTTTAAGTTAAGGAACATATACATTAAAAATCAATAGAGAACATAATAGGCCAATTTAGGTATATTACTTTAATTGATGTAATTTATATATATATGCAAATAGAAAAAAGTTAAAGGCATCTAAACTCACATTGATTTTTTCAATTAATTTTAAATCGGCCTTCAAAAAATTATTCAAAAAACTCTAGTAAGTAAATCATTTACGCTCACAATATTTTTAGAAAGATTATTTTGAAACTATAATTAATTAATTAAAGATTTTGTTTTACAAACATACAATTATTTCTGGCGTGCTCTTCAAGATTTAATTCCCATAATTGACACAGCCTAGCAATAAAAAATTGTTTACGTCACAATTATTAAGAAACAATTAATTAATAATCTTTAAGTGCATATAACTACTTGTACTAATCTTTCTTTTCTTGCAATTAACTTCAAATGAAAGACGTCAAATAAAAGACTACAGATGCATTATCATCTTTAAGCACTAAGATAAAAATACCTTGTAAAAATGCTCCCGGATAGCAAGGTATTTAGGGTATGCTACATACATGGCAGTATAAATACCTATTTACCTATTAAGAGGGTGATTTCTACCCAGACAGAAATTCAGTGAAGAGCAAGGAGTCCTACCACCTAAGCTGCATCTATATTTTGCAAGTTTATATAATATACTCTAGAGTCTAGAAGATTAAATTTATATATAACAGACACTTATAAAACGGGGTAAGAATAACTACTACCCCGTATTGCCCCATGGATGGCGTAAGAGGCGATAGAGGGAAACTCATAACAACTCAAAATAATAAACTGTGGTAGCCAACTCACCTACCAAGCGTGGCAACTGCAGCAATATCCCCCCTATGAGGCAATCTATGGCGAATGCCTATGTTCAGCAGTGGAGTTTTATAGGCTTTAATGGAATGGATAAAGATTTTTACTAGGTGGTAATGGACTTACCACCTAGTAAAAATTTTTATCGATTACATAAGGTAGGTATTACCTTCTCATCTATTTCTGCAGCCAAACTCTCTGTTCGGACCGAAAGGGTGTACAGATCCAGTATAATTACAGGCATTTTATCTTAGTCCTCAGCTCCACAGCGGTGACATGTAAGTTATGAAGCCTTCTTTGTTTAAAGTCGGTTGCAGGTCTCCAAGGACTGCAGTAATCACTTACCATCAGGTAAACTGTAAGTTTATCAGTCACTTCAGTTTTATAGTAATCAAAATAATAATGGTTTATTTAAACACAAGCGTAATGGTCTATAGGTATTACATGCCTAATGGTTTATGTTTTAAGTTAGTACAGAAATCAAAACTAAATGTTAAAAACTTACAGAAACATATAGGTTATAATATATTATTCTAGAGTGTGTTCTTTAACTGAAATACAACTAATGTTCATGGACTTATGGAATTACTATTAAGTATTGTTTTTTAAAATCCAACCTGACTGCAACTCGCACACTGGACTCATCTCCAGCCATGTCTGCATTTGCATACCTTCAACAAAATAGAATTATTTTTTTTAAATATTATTTCTCCTGCTGACAGACAAAAGAACTTAAGTAATAACTATTTGTCATAAATAAATTTTTATAAAAATTACCAGCTACTAAAACCTTTAAATGTACAATGTACATGTTGTGTTTTATTTATGTCATGATACTTTTATGACTTTTTAAGCTTTTGCTCAAATATTCCTTTAGTATTTATATATGAAATTCTTCTGTCCTTATGTATAACTGAACTCAAAACGGCTGGTCCAATTTTGGTGAAATTTTGTTTGTAATTAAGTTGATTTGAGATTGGTTTAGATTTACAATTATACCCGGTAGGTGGCACTGTTGTCGAGATTCAGAAATCACCTGTGCAAGGCCGGGACTGATCACTAGTATCAATATAAAACATTCAGATTCATTGAAACTAAAAATAGCTCAGGAAAAACGAATGAATGTGATAGAAATTCCTAAAAGCAGTATAAGATTAAAATTAAATTTACTTGAAGAAAATGTACTGTTAAACAAGAAATAAAAATTGTTTAGTTGTATAGAAATGTATGTCCAAGTTTTAGACTCGGCCTTTATGTAAGGAAATAAGTAAATACTTAATCAACAATCATCATCACCACAATCCTTCAAAAGTCCACAGCTGAACATATACCTCCCCTAAGGAATGCCACAAAGCACGGTCCTGAGGCACCTGCATTCATCGACTTCCTGCATGTCTTACCAGGTTGTCACTCCATCTAGTGGGGGATCGTCCCACATATCGCCTACCGGTGTGAGCCTGCCACTTAATCGACGATATTTACGTATAATCTATCACTGATTTTACGTAAATATTAATCTACTACTTAAAATCTTATTTAAAGTATTTTTGTGTAAGCCTAAAGGTGAGGTAATGTCGCAATGATAAAAAAATGTTTCGAAATAATCGATGTATTTGCTTGTCAACATATTAATAACAGATAACGCGAGTATTTTTATTCGGCGTGAGATGATAAACATACAAACATAAAATATATTATATTTATAATAATAACAATACGAACTGCGAGTCAAGTTCCTTATTTTTTATTGTTTAATTCCCGGAAATACTTACAGTGATTGATTGTATCCTTAATAATTGATAACTATGCACATTATTTCTTTTAGATCTGTATTGAAAGGCTTTTTTAACGACCAAGATTTCCGTCCATCTTTCACTGCGTATTGTAACACAATTAAAGAAATAGAAAACACAATATTTTATAGTGAGCTTTTAAATATTTCGAGCTATAATTTAAGTATTCTTTGTCATAACGTACACAATTATCAAGCGGCGTTATTTTATACTATCGCGATAATAAACAATCGGATTTTGAATACAAAACGCCGCAACATCGACAATCGTTCACCTGTACTCGCACGAACTGACACTGACAGAAATTTTGAACGAACACGAACCCAAAACGACCTTCCACAGAGCACAGAAAAATAATTACACGGAGTTCGATAACGAACCAAAGAACACTGCGGGCAAAGAGTATAAAATCATTTTATAGGTACTATAAATGTATGCACTCTGTGATATTAATTTTTGATTGCCAATAACAATGAGATTATTAAAATAGTTAAAAAAACAAGGTAATGAATGCGTAATATATAATATATAGCGTTCGCATTTATTAATTTATTGTTTTAGTAGTAAGGGTAACATTAAGACGCTACATGTTATTATATTGTATTGCAGCACACGATTCAATAGATGGCACTGCATTCGCTGGTAAAATGGTACATATAATTTTACAGCTGCCACTTTCGTAATAGTTTCTAATGATTTTAATAGATGGCGCCTAATTATTCAGCACAAACATTTAATTAAATGATTATTGTTATATTTCACATTTCACAATAACTCTATATAGTTATAATCAGTATCAATGACATCCACTATAGCATTCGTAAAATTTTTATGTAGGTAATTTTTAATAATTACTGAAAGAAATAAGCGATATGAAATGGAATAAGTACCAACTTGCCAACATAGTAGAATTCGAATTACCCATCGCCAGTCTGTGTATTTTACATGGAATATAAAACAAATTGTGCATGTAATTGTGTATGAAGTGAAACTTCTTTACGATATATCGTAGAATAAAAATAATAGTACCCATAGTGGGTACACATTTTTTTAACGTATACCGTCGGGGCTACGGGATAAAATGGATTAATGAATTCTCTTGCGTCGTCACCAGTTTGCTATACTATTAAATATGGTTATTATTATTCATCCCACCAAATAGGAAAGGGGAACTGTGAGGTTTATCGAGGTGAGACATCATATATAAGTAGGCTAAGCCACTTATAATATCAGCTACTTATCTACCAGTGAAAGTCCCGTCAAAATCGGTTCAGCCATTTTGGAGATTAGCCGGAACAAACAGATAGACAGACAGACAGACAAAAGTTTAAAATTGCTACAAAACTTAGCTGCAGCATGTCTACCACGTTAAATAATTAATAATGAGTAAGAAGAATTATAAAGCCCTTTAGATATTTGTTTTGACGTCCTTATAGATTATTGATAGGTCTTCGCGCGAGCGCGCGATGACCTATTATTAATCTATGCTGACGTCATGGTTGTAGCACGAATGCGTCGGCTCGACCGGGAAAGGACCACGCTCTCACAGAATACCAGCGTAAAATAGCAGCTTAACGCTGCTGTGTTTCGTATGGTGAGTGTAGAGAACTGGAGACCCTTTTTACTGGAAACGAGGCATTCCATCTAGGAATCTAAGAATCAAAATGCAGATGCGTTGTCATCTTTACGGGTGACAACGCATCTGCATTTTGATTCTTAATCGAAGATAGATGTAGATGTCTTTGGGCCACAGCAACCACTTACCATCAGGTGGACTGTGTGCTCGTTTGTCACACTTATCCTATAAAAAAAAATTGCGTTGCTGAATAATTTTCGGAATAACGACTTTATTTTTATTAGGGGCGCCTTGTTATTGCGTATACTTGCAGCACCTAATTAGCACTTAATTCCTTGCTATTAATATTTATCGTATACCTAATAACTTAATTGCGTTGCTAGCAAGACGTTTTGCTAGTAACGCAAATTTCAATAGGTCGTTGCGGTGAAAATTTTAGAGCACCTAATTTTTAAACTTGGTACTTAATTAGGACCTAAAAAGCCCCTTATTTGGACTTTTTCTGAAAGCAATTTTGATTCTAGTTTGATTTTCCGGAAATCAGTTAACAGTGGTAGAGCCACGCGGCAGCTTTTGCTGTCGCGCGGATGGGCCGGCTCGAACCGGGGTGATACCACGACGATCACAGAATACCAGCGTGAAGTAGAGGTTTACCTCTGCGTTTCGCTTGGTGAGTGCAGGTGGCCGGAGGCCCTTTTTACTGTTCGTTGCGGTGAAAATTTTAGAGCACCTAATTTTTAAACTTGGCACCTAATTAGCACCTAAAAAGCCCCTAATTTGGGATTTTTCCAAATGCAAATTCCCGACTTTGCGTTGCTAGCGATACACAACTCTTTATTAGTATTTCAGTATTCCCGAACAAGCCGGTTTCCGAAAAAGCTTTAGCATCATAGACCATATACATATCCTTCGGCAAATTATACAGAAGACCGAGGAGTACAATTTGCCACTATGTCTTGCGTATGTGGACTATGAGAAAGCCTTTGATTCTTTCGAAATTTGGGCGGTTCTGCAGTCCCTTCAGCGGTGCCAAGTTGACTGTCGGTATATCGAAGTGATGAAGTGTTTGTACAGTAGGACTACGATGGCTATCCGAGTACACAACCAGAGTACGAAACCAATCCAACTGCAGAGAGGTGTTATATCCCCGAAACTCTTCACGGCTGCATTGGAAGACGTTTTCAAGCTACTGGACTGTAAAGGATACGGTATTAACATTAATGGCGAGTACATCACTCATTTTCGATTTGCCGACGATATAGTCCTTATGGCAGAATCGCTGGAGGACCTAAGCACTATGCTCAAAGACCTCAATAGTGCATTCCAACGGATAGGTTATAAAATGAATATGGATAAAATAAAGATCATGTGTAACGTCCATGTCACACCTATACCGGTAGTTGTTGGGAGCACTAAGCTCGAAGTTGTTGACGAGTGTGTTTACCTGGGACAAATAGTCCGACTAGGTAAGTCCAACTTCGACCGAAATTGTACAACCAGTGCATGTTGCTAGTGATAACTTATGGATCTGAGACTGGTCCTGCACTGCTGGCTGTATGATGAAGCTCAAGGTCGCTCAGCGAGCTATGGACAGCGTTATTATGCTCGGGGTTTCTCTGCGTAATAAACTTAGAAATGAGGATATCCGCAGTAGAACCAGAGTGACCTACCTAGCCCAACGGATTAGTAAGCGGAAGTGGCAATGGGTCGGCCATATAGCTCGAAGAACCGACAAACGATTGGGGAAAAAGGTTCTCGAGTGGCAGCCTCGTACCGGTGGCGAAGTGAGGGGCGCCCCCCCCACTAGATGGAGTGACGATCTGGTAAGACATGCAGGAAGTCGTGGAAAGTTGATGGATGCAGGTGGCTCAGGACCGTGCTTTGTGGTATTCCTTGGGGGAGACGTATGTTCAGCAGTGGACGTGCGAAGGGCTGTAATGATGATGATGATAATTAGTATTCAGAAAAGATTTAAAATTCAAACAATTTACTTCAAAGTACAATCTAATTATTTACTCAGTTTTTATTAAATAAAAGGCAGCTGTGATATGAAGAGAAGCTGTTTGTCTGGAGATTTTGAGTTTTGTCGGGAGTCTGGAGATCATTTAAAATGTCGGGAGAATCCAAACGAATCACAATCTGGCAACCCTACCTGTACGACAGCTTTTAATACAAGGATGTACGTCAGTTAAACTGTTTAGTTTAACTGACCGTGAGTGGCCACCATTACTTTTTCTAGTTAACAAGTTCAAAAACGTGTTAATTCCTGTTCCCGCCCATAAAAATATGTGCGATTGCTCATCCGATTCGGAATGACGTCTAGAAAAATGTATCTGAAGGATTTATTAGCACATAAAAAATTGCAATTGATATTAACAAAATAAGATGAAGGAAAAAAGAAATTTAGTTTTTTTTAATAACACAAAAACTATTAATATTTAAGAACTTTTGAAAAAAGATCCTTAGTGAAGAGGAAATTTCCAAAAAAAAAAAATTTCGGCTCCTGGCATTCTATCTAAATTATTTATTATTTTTATTTAACGCCGAATCGTTACGCCTACATAAAATATTTTTTTATAGTATTAAATATTAATTAAAAAATTGGAAAAACATTTTAGTATCATCAGAACACTTGAATAAATAAAGGTAGGAAAAAAATTATGTCGAATTTTCAAAAAGTCATACGATTGTTAATTAACAAAAAGAATTCCAATCTATGTTTTTACATTCGACATAATAGTTTAAATTCGTAATTTATTTATTGCATGACACAAAGTGTAAAGTTGTTACAATATATTTACAGAGTTATCACTTTATTATTTATGTAGGTAATTTTTAATAATTACTGAAAGAAATAAGCGATATGAAATGGAATAAGTACCAACTTGCCAACATAGTAGAATTCGAATTACCCATCGCCAGTCTGTGTATTTTACATGGAATATAAAACAAATTGTGCATGTAATTGTGTATGAAGTGAAACTTCTTTACGATATATCGTAGAATAAAAATAATAGTACCCATAGTGGGTACACATTTTTTTAACGTATACCGTCGGGGCTACGGGATAAAATGGATTAATGAATTCTCTTGCGTCGTCACCAGTTTGCTATACTATTAAATATGGTTATTATTATTCATCCCACCAAATAGGAAAGGGGAACTGTGAGGTTTATCGAGGTGAGACATCATATATAAGTAGGCTAAGCCACTTATAATATCAGCTACTTATCTACCAGTGAAAGTCCCGTCAAAATCGGTTCAGCCATTTTGGAGATTAGCCGGAACAAACAGATAGACAGACAGACAGACAAAAGTTTAAAATTGCTACAAAACTTAGCTGCAGCATGTCTACCACGTTAAATAATTAATAATGAGTAAGAAGAATTATAAAGCCCTTTAGATATTTGTTTTGACGTCCTTATAGATTATTGATAGGTCTTCGCGCGAGCGCGCGATGACCTATTATTAATCTATGCTGACGTCATGGTTGTAGCACGAATGCGTCGGCTCGACCGGGAAAGGACCACGCTCTCACAGAATACCAGCGTAAAATAGCAGCTTAACGCTGCTGTGTTTCGTATGGTGAGTGTAGAGAACTGGAGACCCTTTTTACTGGAAACGAGGCATTCCATCTAGGAATCTAAGAATCAAAATGCAGATGCGTTGTCATCTTTACGGGTGACAACGCATCTGCATTTTGATTCTTAATCGA